AAAATAAAAGCGATAAGAACTTCATTAGTATAGGTCAAAAATAAAGTCTGAATTGTCACCATAAGTTATTTTACTAACCACTGTGAGGAATAATTACTCAGCTACCATCTGCTGAATTTTAATACTATGAAAACTACACATATTTATTCCTCTCAACAATCCTACACAGTAAATACTATCATCCCCATTCTACAGATAAGAAAACTGAGACTAAGAGAAATTAACTGAGTTCTTCCCAATTACCCAACTTATAAATAAGAATTTTAATCTTAACAGTTTGATTCCAGAGCAGCCATTCAGTTTCAAAGTCATATCCAACACCTTCAGTTACCACTGATGATAGATGTACTCAAGTGTGTTCATACTTAACATAACTTAAAAAAAAAAATACAAGTACACAGAAATATATATTAAAGGCAGCATTAAAAAAGTTATGTGGGAGAGAGCAAATAACTCTGCCTACCTAACTCTAACAGAGTTAGAAAAATTCCTGGCCCGAAGACAATCCGAAGAACAGGCACCAGCTAGTCCTGGAAAAACCTTGGTGCCACGATCAGAATTGGAATGCTGGTTGAAATGAATGCCTGGTATATTATTTACCATCTTTATTCCTCTCATCAAATAAGCTTAGGAAGAATTTCAACAACATAAAAAGCCATTCCTTCTCAGCATCTTCCCTCTTTATTCTCTTTTTTTTTTAATAAATCTTTATTATTCAAATTATTACAATTGTTTCTCCTTCCTCTTCACTCTCTTAAAAATAGCATGCCCCTTCCCCACCTCCCACCTTCTTTCTCAGGCTTATTTTTCCTCATAGCACTTACATCACTACCTGACGTTATACTGTATACCTATCTGTTTACTGTTTATCCTTCTCTATAGAAGGCAAACTCTATGAAATGAACACAGGCTTTTTCTCTCTGCTGTTCGTTACCCTATCTGCAGCGCATAAACAGCACGCTAGTACAGGTCAGACACTGAATGGCGACTGAAGGGTCCTCCTTGCCCTGTTTTCTCTCATCCAATTCAAACAAACCAGATCTGCTTTTTGCTTTTTTCTTTTCAAACTAAGAGTTGGTAAGTGAAACAAGTTCCTTTATAATTGCTGAACACTTTCACGTGAATCAGGCATTTCAAAAGGACAGGCTATAAAGGATGTGCTAAGTTCCCTTTTTAAATGTAATTCTTGGGAGAAAGTATTGTACTACTGAACACAGTTACAAAACAGCGAAGATGAAAGGTGAAGGCGACACGGTAGCTCACAGCCTGGTGAGGAGCAACTCCCTCCAATCCATGCCAACCTCAGGAGCTCCATCTTCGGCCTTAAGCCTTAGAGAGAAGCTGGTGCTTATGAAACTCCTTCTTACACAATTTACTCCCTTCACCCTCATGAAAACTCGCTCTAACGTTAATTCGTTTTACAGACGTGGCAACGAGATCTGCAAAATCACTGCCTTGAGAGAATTCAGTAACTGCCATGCACGAATCCAATCCGAGGTCCTCCGGCTCCAAGTGGTATGCTTTTCCTTCATGTGTTCATCCATGAACTTGCTCAGCTACCATTTACTGAATAGCCACATGCAGTGGGTGCTGGAAAGGCGACAGTAAACGAAGCTCGGATCCAACGGACCCCGGATCCTCAGAGGATACAAGCTGCTACACATTGTTTCCTCTCCCCACACCTCAGGCTTGTCATCTGTGAAATGGAGGTGCCCACCTGGTGTGACGCACGGTGCCTGGCCCTCGCGAAGGGCATGAATAACCGCTAACACAGCTCATGACAGCGGACTAGGGAGAGAGTGCGGACGTTTAAAAATAAAAACGGGGGCCAGGACGGCGAAGTCGCCCCCAGGAAGGCCAGCCCCAGCTCCGCGGGCCTGGGAGCTCTACGCGCGCCCAGATGCTTCGTTGGCCAGAATCGCCATCTGCCCGCAGAAGTCGGACCCCGACCCCTTTTCCATGGCCCAGGGGGTCCCCCCGCAGCTATCAGGGAGAGACGCGCGCGCGCGCGCACACACACACGCACACACACACCCCTAACCCCGCGCCGCCCCGGAGGCCAAACAGGAGGAGCCGCTCAACGGTCCAGGCCAGGAGGGCCGCTGCCTTCGCCGGGGGGAGAGCAGGCCCAGGAGGGGCCGCCCGGGCGCCATTACTCATCCCGCGTGGTTCACCTCAATGTAGAAGGTCATAAACGCCTCCTCCGTGCTGCCTCCGCCGCCCGAAGCCCCGCTTTCCCCAGAAGCCGCCATCTTCCCCGGCCCAGGCACCACGTGACTCTTCTGCGCAGGCGTCGCGACCCGTGATGCTCAGGGGCCGCCTCCAGCCCCGCCTTCCGTCTTAAGGGGCTGGGAGCCGGCGCAGCCAACTGAAGACTTTTTTTTTTTTAAGTTAAGGCGAAACACACATGACATAATCTTAACCGTTTTATTTATTTTTTTAAATATATTTTATTGATTTTTTTTACAGAGAGGGAGAGTTAAAAACGGATGAGAGAGAAACATCCATCAGCTGCCTCCTGCACACCCCCTCCTGGGGATGTGCCTGCAACCATGGTACATGCCCTTGACCGGAATCGAACCTGGGACCCTTCAGTCCGCAGGCCAACGCTCTATCCACTGAGCCAAACAGGTTTCAGCTAACCGTTTTTTGTTTGTTTGTTTGTTTTTATAAAGACAGGTACTGTATCTTTTTTTTTAATATATATATTTTACTGATTTTTTTCGGGGAGGAAGGGAGAGAGATAGTTAGAACCATCGATGAGAGAGAAACATCGATCAGCTGCCTCCTGCACACCCCCTACTGGGGATGTGCCTGCAGCCAAGGTACATACCCTTGACCAGAATCGAACCTGGGACCTTTTCAGTCCTCAGGCCAACGCTCTATCCACTGAGACAAACTGGTTTCAGCAACTCATTGGACTTTAGTACATTCACAGTATTGTGCAACCACCATCTCTATCTAGTTCCACAGCTTCATCACCCCAAAAGGGTATCTGGCACCAATTAAGCCATTTCTCCCATTCCCCTTACTTCCCAAACCCGGACAACCTCTCCCATTCCCTTACTTCCCAAACCTGGACAACCATTCTATGACCTGTCTCTATAGATTTTACATGTTCTGGACATTTCATATGAATGCAGCCATGCAATATGAGACCTATTGTGTCTGCCTTCTTTCAACTTAGCAAGTTTTTAAGGTTCATCTAAGGTATTGCATGTATCATTACTTCATTACTTTTTGTGGTTAAATAATATTACACTGTTCTTTTATTCATTTATTGATGTACATTTGGGTTGTTTCCATCTTTTGGTTCATAGTACCGCTATGAACCTGAAATTACATGTGTTTGTTCAAGTACCAATTTTCTACTGGGGGGGCTATAGCGGGAGATGTATATACCAAATACCTAAAGTGAAATTGCTGAGTCATATGGGAATTCTGTATTTAATTTTTGAGCAACTGCCAAGCTGTTTTCCACAGCAGCCTAAACATTTTATATTCCCATCAGCAATGTTGAAATTTTACAATTTCTCTATTTTTTTTTTAACACAGTCATCCTAATGCCTGGATGGATCTTTTATACAAACTCTGTAAGACCCTCCAATGGATGCCCAGCCTAGGAGATAATCAAGAAATAGCAATATGAGAAGTAGAAACAGTTTCTGAAAGTGGAATGGTACTTAAAGATCATCTATTGTAGAAACACACCAAATTATTATCACCAGGTAGGAATTATAAATGATTATTGTTTCTACCCTGCTTTGACTTTTTCCAAATTTTCTGCAATGAACATTTGAAAATGTGCCCCACAGCCATTTTCTCCCAAGTCATACAAACCAGTTCTGGCATTTTTCCAGCCAAAAGATGATTATAGTTCTACCATTTCATAGAAAACAAGTGTTATAATCATAAGTAACATAGATAATCTGGCCTAACTCTCTCATCTACAGGAGAAAAACAAAAAACAAAAACTGAGTCCAGAGAGAAAATATGACATAGGCAGGCAAAGGCTATATAAACTATTTTCTTGTTCATATTTGTTCATGGCTGAAGGAATGTCAAGGCAAATTCTTCCCTAGACTCCTACTTATGCTCTTCATTGCACCACACCTTTTGATAACCTATTCATTAATTTTACAAATACTAACTTAATGCCTATTTGATCCCGACTCTGGTAACTTCAGAAAGTGAAAAGTGCAAAGAGAGAGAAAGAACAAAACAGGGAGCTATGATAGAATGACTAAGGAGATCAGGGATGACTCCCTTGAGGTGACATTTAAGCTGAAACTTCATAGTGAAATGGCAATGCAACAAAAGGACATTTGATATCTCTTAAGAGACCAACTAAGTCCGGTTATGTTGGACATAGATATCCACACTTCAATCCCTATAGCATCTTACCAAATCTGTTTTTATCTTACTATTCTTCTTATAGCATCTTTGCTGTTGTTGTTAATCTCACCAGAGGGTATTTTTTCCATTGATTTGAGTGAGAGTAGTAGGAAAGGAGGAGAGAAAGAAATATCCCAAAGGCGCCCCCACTAGGGGGAAAGGGGTGCAACCTTGAATCCAGGTACCTGTTCCCTTGACCGGGGATCGAACTCGTGACCCTTGAGTACATGGGCCCCGCACCACGCTCTAACCACTGAGCCACCAGCCAAGGCTCGTATAGTATCTTATGTACCCTAGCGGTCCAGGAAAGGGAAGGTTTCCTTCGGGTGTTTAACAATAATAAACTTGGGATTGGAATCCAGGGGGTGAAAGGTGGATGCCACGCTTCAATCTAATGGCTTCTGGCCCTCCCTCGCCGGGGACTCGCCTACCAACGTCCTCCATTCTTGTTTTTCTATCCTGTGGCCCAGGAGACCTTGATAGGGATTGGCTAAGAACAGGCCCGCCTCCTGTTCAGCATTGTCCGCGAGCTCCAGAAACCCCGCCCTCCCCCTTTCGTGATTCGCTCCTCCCGGCTTCATCCCGCCTCTCCACGGACACGATTGGTCGCCGGCCGCGAGCGCCGGTGGCGCCCACGGGAGTCGGCACCTCTGCGTCCGGTGCTGCGCGGCTCTGACAATCATGGCAGTCTCGGCGGCGGCGGCGGCGCGGCTGCGGCTCGCGGTGCGGGGAGCGAGGGCCATACAAGCCGGAGGCTTCGGCTGCGCACAGGTAGGCCCGCGGCAGAGGCCGCTGCCCCAGCCCTGGGCGCGGGCGCCTCGCCCCGCCCCCCACACCTTTCCCAATGTCACGTCTCTCTCCGCAGCCCGCTCGCTACAGCTCGAGCGAGGGCTCCATCAGGGAGGCCGGCGGGACCTTCGCGAAAAAAGAGAAGGCCGAAGAGGAACGATACTTCCGGTGAGGCCCCGGGTCGGAGTTCAGCCCTAGATCTCGCGGAGCCTTCCTTCCCGGCCTTCTTAAACTCCCAGTCGCCCTCCCCACCCCGCCCCTCCCCGGTGCCAGGTCGCCCCACCCCCGCAGCAGAGCTCCGGGTTCCGGGCCTCGTTACACCCTTGCTCCTAGTGACCTGCTGAAGAGTCAGTCCCAGGGCCCACAATCCAAGCCATTCCCACCTGCGCTTCTCTGGCCCAATTCTTCCAGAACCATTTACCATCCCCACCCGTGCAGTTCTTCCCAGATCGTGCAAAACGCCCCCAGATCCTTGCATTGTTTGGATCCAACCGCCCAGTCCTGGCAGGCCCTCTGAGTTTGCCCGCTGCGTGAACGCCCACTATATATCCTTCCAGGATGTTTTCTCCTCCACACGCCTTAGCTTTGCTGGCCCCTAAGGGATGGATCCCCTAGACCTCCAAAGGCCTAACTTGGCCAGAGCGAGTGGGTCATATAGGAGCTGAGTGCTCCCGACTTGAAATTCCCTTCCTCATTTCCTGGAGACTTTTGGCCGGCTCCGCCCAGTATGGAGTGGGCCCGGCCGGTGTGGGTCAGTGGTTGAGCATCACCTATACACCAGGACTTCACTGTTCGATTCCTGGTCAGGGCACAAGCCCAGGTGACGGGCTCTATCCCCAGTGTGGGGCGTGCAGGAGGCAGCCGATCAATGATTCTATCGTTGGTTTGTTTTTCTATCGCTCCTTTCCTCTCTGAAATAAATTAAATATATATATTTTTAAAAAGAATATGGAGTGGGGCCCTAGCGGGTTTGGGTCAGTGGATAGAGCCTCCGGAGAGGGATTGGCATGCGGACCGGATCCGGAAGGGCAGTATCTTGGTTGCAGGCTCCTCCCTGTCAGGGTCCTGGTCTGGGCTCATGCAGGAGGCAACACGTGGATGTTTCTATCTTTCTCTTTCACTCGTCCTAAAAATCAATGGAAAAATATCCCCGGGTGAGGATTAACAATAACAATAAAAAAAAGTATGGAGTGGGCTAGGCCTCTACATTTTTACCAACTCTGAATTATCTTTTACTGACTTCTCTGCACAGTAAGGAATAGCGTAGAAGTTATCTCTGCTTCTCCTTTGGCCATCTTTTCACTTCTGCCTTCTCTTCTTCACTCTTAAGAATTATCACCTTGGCCCTGGCCAGTGTGGCTCAATTAGTTAAGCCTCGCCCATGCTTGGAAAGGTTGCTGATTCCATTCCTGGTCTGGACACAGGGTGGGGTTGTGGCCTCTTACATGAATGTTTCTTCTCCCTCCCTCTTTCTCTATAAAAATCAAACCATTCTTAAAAAAAAAAAAATTATCACCATGGCCCCTGGCATACCAGAAAGTCAAAGTACAGCCCTTAAAGACCACCTACTTGGGTTCTTACATATTTTTAAATATGTTTTTTATTTCAGACAGGAAGAGAGAGAGAGAAACATCAATGATGAGAATCATTGCTTTGCCCTAGCCGGTTTGGCTCGGTGGATAGAGCATCTGCCTCTGAACTGAAGGGTCCCAGGTTCGATTCTGGTCAAAGGCACACACCAGGGTTGTGGGCTCCATCCCCAGAAGGAGGCGTGTGGGAGGCAGCCAATCAATGATTCTCATCGTTGAAGTTTCTATCTCTCCTTCTTCCTTCCTCTTTGAAATCAATAAAAAAATATATTTAAAAAAAAAAAGATTAATTGATCGGCCACCTTCCCGAAAATCCCCTACTTGGGATTGAGCCAGCAACCCAGGCATTGTGCCCTTGACCAGAATCAAACCGGGACCCTTCAGTCTGCAGGCCAAAGCCCTATCCACTGAGCCAAACCAGGAAGGGCTCTCTCTTTTCTTTTTTTTAATCCTCACCCGAAGATGTTTTTATTGGTTTTTTGTTTGTTTTTAGAGAGAGATCGAAGTGAGAGAAACATTGACCAGTTGCCTTCCATACACACTGCAACACAGATTTGAACCCACAATCTAGATATGTGCCCTGACCAGGAAGCAAGTCCGCAACCTTTCAATGCACAGAACAACATTCCAACCCACTGAACCACCCAGCCAGGGCTGTATTGTTTCTCAGTTGTACTGCCAAGTACTGCCCATGCAGGAGGCCCCTTCTTTTCCCCTCCCTCCCTCCCACCTTCTCGTTGGCCTTTACAGTGGGCCACGCACTTCTCCAGGCAAAGAAAGCTCTAGGTAATTTAAGATAGATTGCAAAAATTTTCCTTTCACTATACCCCTTTGTGTACTCATTTCCCCAAAAAGGGATCTGTTCCCTTGGTTATTCCTCTAATAAGGTATTGGGGACATACATCACACCTCTCTGGAGTTTTCTGCTCTAATGAGGAATATAAAAGGAATAGCTTGTGAGTGGTGGAATTCAGGCACTAGCTCCAGAAAAATGGAGTCACCTGGTCATTTCCACACTACATTTCCAAAGGAGTGTTCTTTCACTAGTGGGGCTGGAGCTAGAAGAGGATGACCAGCCAGACTCCCGTGGGACTGGGACACTTTGCCTTAGGTATTGCAGGTTCTGCTGAGAGATCTCTTTGCAGTGATGGATTAGGATTAAACCCAGAGTCACTGTTTACTTGTAGAGAGCGGACTAAAGAACAACTGGCAGCCCTGAAGAAACACCATGAAGAGGAGATCCAGCATCATAAAAAGGAGATTGAACGTCTGCAGAAAGAAATTGAGCGGCACAAGCAGAACATCAAGAAACTGAAAAGTGGTAGTGATGATTAAGTGCACTGCAGTTCCCCATAGAATGGCTACCTAATGTCCACTTCTATGAAAGCATGGTTCTGGTAACTAATATCTATGCTGCCAACAGATTAAATAAATTGTGATCAGTGAACTGTGTCTAATGTCTTCTACCGTCTGGAGAGGGGTGGGGGAACACTAAATGCTAAAATGTGCCAGACAGAGTATCTGTAATAGGGAGCTTAAAGACAGCACTGCATGATAAGTGCTGTGTCTCATGGGGAGAATTGGGGGAGGCAGGTGTGACATGGGGAGAGGCCCCTTTCCCTGTCTGAGTCAGAAGTTCAGAGAAAGCTTGAAGGGTAAACCCCAATCCAAGGTCAAGAGCAGCCTGGAAAACAGATGAGTAGTTGCTTAAAAGATACAATTCAAGAAACCAGCCAAAACCGGTTTGGCTTACTGGATAGTCTGCAGACTGAAAGGTCCCAGGTTCGATTCTGGTCAAGGGCATGTACCTTGGTTGCGGGCACATCCCCGGTAGGGGGTGTGCAGGAGGCAGCATGTCATGTTTCTATCTCATCGATGTTTCTAGCTCTCTATCCCTCGCCCTTCCTCTCTGTAAAAAAATCAATAATATATATATATATTTTTTTAAAGAAAAGAAACCATCAGTCCATTTTGCATTTATATGATGGATTAGAGAACTCTTCATATGAACTAGTTATCCTTGTTCTAATTATTTTTGTGCAAATTGATAGAACTAGAATTAGAAATGATGTGTTGCCTATGATTAGTAAATTAAGAGTTGAAATTTGGCATCTAGGGTTTTTGATTTCTAATCCAAGTCTATTAATAGCAGAGAATCACAGTTATATTCTAGGTTACATTTTGCTCCACCAAGCTCTTGATTCAAAATAGACTTTAACAAACTAGTAGTGTAACGCCTCTAAGCAAAAACAAAAATTTATTTTTTGAAGTGATTTTTAGGGCCATTGGTAAGACTTTTTTTTTTCTTTTCTTTTTTTAAAATATATTTTATTGATTTTCTACAGAGAGGAAGAGAGAGTATCCAGATAGAAACATCGATGAGAATCATCAATCAGCTGCCTCTTGCACACTCCCTCTCTAAAAAAAATCAATAAAATATGTTGAAAAAAAAAGAGAAAATCCTCACGTAAGGATATGTTTTCACTGATTTTAGGGAAAGGGGAAGGTTGCCTCCTGTGTATGCCCAACTAGGGATCGAAACCAAAAACAGGCCTGTTCCCCATCCAAAAATCAAACTGGCGGCCTTTCAGTGCTCCAACCAACTGAACCTCACAATCAGGATTGTTGTGCTTATTTCTTTTACTAAAATTACAAAGGCATACAAAATCCCCTAAAAGTTGATGGGTAAAACAAGCAAAAGTTGAAACAGATGAAGAATCAATATGAATTCTTAAAGAAGTAAAATAAATTTTGGAGCAGCCTAATTTTTTTTTTTAATATATTTTATTGATTTTTCACAGAGAAGAAGGGAGAGAGATAACAGAGTTAGAAACCGATGAGAGAGAGTCATTGATCAGCTGCCTCCTGCATGCCCCCCACCGGGGATGTGCCCGCAACCCAGGTACATGCCCTTGACTGGAATCGAACCTGGGACCCTTCAGTCCGCAGGCCGACGCTCCATCCACTGAGCCAAACCGGCTTCGGCACCATAATACAGTTCTTAATATGAAAGCTATTTGAGGATATGAAAATTAAAGTATATTAAGCATTTTTTTGTACAAAACATGAACCTTTTATTTTTTTAATCTTGTTTTAATTGATTTTAGGGAGAAACATCAATTTGTTGTTCTACTTATGATTTTATTGGTTGATGCTTCTATGTGCCCTGACAAGGGATCGAACCTGGAACCTTGGTATATATATCAGAACAACACTAACCAACTGAGTTACCCTGGCCCGGAATAACATTAACATTTTAGAGTAGGGGTGTCGAACTCAATCAGAGAAGGGGCCAAAATCTAAAATCCAGCCTAAATCGCGGGCCGAATGGTTTACTGAACAGTCATATACTGTCATTGTGATGGAAACGCAGCGGAGTGCAGTGATGACAGCGAGGTGCGGGCCACATTGCAAGGCCTGGCGGGACGGATTTGGCCCGCGGGCCTTGTGTTTGACACATGTGTTTTAGAGCATAGCCTTACTACAATTTGGAAAATGCTGTACTGATTTATTGCATTAGTTTAAGTTCTTTTTGTTTACAAGTAACAGAAACCAGCACTGGCTGGCTTAGAAAGAGAAAAAGTAATTTATTAAAAGAACAGGGGCTGCTGAAACCAGTTTGGCTAGTGGTAGAGCGTCGGTCTGCAGACTGAAAGGTCCTGGGTTCGATTCCGGTCAAGGTTGGTTATGGGCACATCCCCGGTAGGGGGTGTGCAAGAGGCAGCTGGTCGATGTTATTCTCTCATCAACGTTTCTAGCTCTCTCCCTCTCTGTAAAAAAATCAATAAAATATATTTTTTTAAAAAGAACAGGGGCTATTGTTTCAGAAACTCAAGAAGATTTGAACACACAAAACCTGGAAAAGGCAGGGATCAGAGAACTCTATGAGCAGATCCTTCTAAACAGCTTCCTGCCCTCCTGTGTCAATCATCGGGGCCAGCCCAACTGGGTGTCTCAATGGTTGAGGGTCAACCTATGAATGGTTGGTTAGATTCCTGGTCAGGGCACATGCCAAGGTTGTGGGCTTCATTTCCAGTGTGGGGCATGCAGGAGGCAGCCAATCAATGATTCTCTCATCATTGATGTTTCTGTCTCTCCCTCTCCTTTCCTCTCTAGAATAAATAATGTATTTTTAAAAGTCAGTGGGCCATTTTAAAAATAAATATTTCAATGGAATTTCACACAATGAACTTACTTAATTGCACAACAATTTATCTTTATGGAGCACTTTACAAATACTTGACTCATTAAATCTCATCATATTTCTGGCAAATGTGCCCATACCATTAGTTTCGTTTCATAACCAAAGTAACTGAAGCAGGGGGCCGTGAAGTAACTTCAAGGTCGCACAACCAGGCTTGTGCTGAGCCTAGACTTGACTCCAGAACTCCTAGTCCCACAATCTCGAGTTGCAGTCCCAATGTCGTGGTTCAGCTGCCTATTGGCTCCCTCCTCAATGTGAGACGGGTCAGGGAGCTTGCCTGGACATCTGGGGATGAGTGGCAAAGGCAGAGGTTCCTGGCAGTAAATGTTGAAATGCCAGTACTTGGCATTGTGTTAGATTTTGGTTGTGATGTGAATCCCGTCAGCATGTCAATGCATGCCTATATAGTGCAAACACATTTGCAGTAGAGCTGGGTTTAGATTTCCACATCAGTAAATACAAAGTTGTCATCCTCAACCCAGGCTTCACATTGAAATACTGGGGAGTTTTTAAATTAAACCAATGCCTCAGGACCAGTTAAATCCAAATCTCTGAGATGCGGGCCTGGGCATGAGTATTTTCAAAAAGCTCTCTGGTTTTTTCCAATATGGGGTTGGAGTTGAGAACCACTGGTGTAAAGGATCCTTCCAGATGGGCTGCATAAGGTGTGGGCTGCAGGTTGTTCTCTGCATAAGGACACCTTGTTGAAGGGGCCAGGGAGGACTAACATTCTGCTCACCAAGCAGCATACTAGTGCTGTAATTTAGGTTAATATTTGTTCTGAAAAAGAGTCACCTTTTGCCAAGACCGGTTTGGCTCAGTGGACAGAGCGTCGGCCTGCGGACTGAAAGGTCCCGGGTTCGATTCCGGTCAAGGGCATGTACCTTGGTTGCGGGCACATCCCTGGTAGGGGGTGTGCAAGAGGCAGCTAATCGATGATTCTCATCGGTGTTTCTAACTCTCTATCTCTCTCCCTTCCTCTCTGTAAAATATCAATAAAATACATTTTTTTAAAAAAAGAGTCACCTTTTGTCATCTGATTTCCACCAAAAGGACTCAGGGTCATTCTACTGTTCTCAAATATGCATTGCTGCATAACATGCATAATCCATTTTCAGATCTTTTAAAATGTGTGGATTAAAAATTAAGCCCTGGCCAGGTAGCTCAGTTGGTTAGAGCACTGGATATGCCAAGGTTTCTGGTTCGTTCACCAGTCAGGGCACATACAAGGATCTACCAACGCATGCAACAACAAATTCCTGTTTCTCTCTCCCTACCCATCTGTCTCTAAAAAATCAATAAAATATAAATAAAGTCTATATTTAGCATCTACTGTATGCAGGGCACTTGATATACACTTGGAATACAACTTCAAAACAATCAAAGCTCCTGTCCTTACCGGACCCACAGCTGACTGGGAAGGACAAGTGACTAAACAACAATGTGAGATATATTCTTTTTTTTTTTTTTTTTTAATATATTTTATTGATTTTTTTTACAGAGAGGAAGAGACAGGGATGGAGAGCTAGAAACATCGATGAGAGAGAACTATCAACCAGCTGCCTCCTGCACACCCCCTAGAAGGGATGTGCGCGCAACCAATGTACCTGCCCTTGACCGGAATCGAACCTGGGACCTTTCAGTCCGCAGACTGAGGCTCTATCCACTGAGCCAAACCGGTTTCGGCCAATGTGGGATATACTCTGATTGTGATGAGTACAGAATGCTTGGGGAGGACACTGGACAAGCACCACCCAGACGTATGGGCTTAAAGGGCCCTCACAGCAGAAAAGGGGTAACAGCAGCCAGGTAAAAGGGAGAGGTGGCAGTCAAGGCTGAGTGACAGCATGTGAAGAAGCATGGATTTGGGGGAATTCACAGTTCAGCCTGTCCAGCTGGAACATGGAGGGGAATGATGAGGAAAGAGGAGGTAGTGTGGTTGAAAGAAGGAGAGAGGGGTATTAGGGGGTTGGCCATTTGAAAGCATAATCACTGTGTCCCTCTTCTCAGTTCTTCCTCCTTTTTTCTTTCAGCCTCCCTCCTGCTCTCCTTTACCTCTTCTTTTTATGTATAGTAGTCCTTTATTAGAGCAGAAAACACCTAAACCGCTTGCACCCTACTTCAAGGAATCTTTAACTCCAAGCGCTGGAAAAGAACAGAAAGCTTGGGACTAGGCAAAGAAACAAAGAGCATGGGGACACATATGTCACTGCTTCGCTTGGTACCTCCTGGCACACACTCAT